TGCTGCGCAGTGGTCAATGGCCGAACTTTGTTGGCCACTTTGTTGTGGTGTCGAGAATATTTGCTATTTGGGACTTGTCTTTCATCTATTTAATTGTAGGCCGTCGTTTTTAGTAATTAGAGCCGAGCAGCTTGGTCCTGGCTAATGAAAATACTTCAATGATTAATGAGCCGAAAATGATGTGGCAGATTGAAGCAACAATTACAAGAGCAACGGCCATTCGAATCAATATCAAGTTTTTGGCCATGTGTTGCATGGCGAACGCGGCACGTGGCGTTCGGTCCATTCAAAACGGAAAATCCATCTTCATTTCCGACTGCTTGCAAATCTTTTTGACCAGATGGCGGCTATTCCGACGAATTTCGACAGTTTTCGCCAGTTTTCGACAGTTTTGGCGTCGCATTGTTAATTAATTAAATTTTAATTAGGCACAAGCTCCAATGATCCGCCGCTCCATCGAACAGACCAATTTTTTGATGGCCTTGTGAAATGTCTTGTTCGCTGTCGGCCGCTTGTTGCTTGCGTCTTGTTGCTAATTGAAAATGCGGCGTGTCATTAATTAATTCAGTGGCACATTTATTAATATTCATTATACGCAGTGTTGTACGCAGCAACTTTCTCCTGCTCTCGCACTCGCACTCTCGCCGTTCGATTAATGTTAACTGGCAGCCTGTCAGCCTGGTGGGCGTGGCGTTGGCCTGCATTTTATTTGCGGCCTCTTTTGTTGTGCTCTTGGCATTTGCTTAACCCATTTTCACATAGTATTTCAGACATTTTTATATTTTTATATCTCTTCTGCTGCTGCTTCTGCTCCTTTTTTCTCAGAGAATGGCACAACTTTTTGACCTTTTGTTTTTGATGCTCTGCTCGGCTTAGCTCTGCACACCGCGTTTATCTTGGCCCGCATTGCCGTTTGCCTTTCTTGCTTTGACACTACAGCGACTGCAGCGTTTTTCGCCCATCCCACACCCTGTCGCTCCCCTGGCGACTTCCTTGCGCCCTGGCAGCTTTCTCTGTGTGTGACTTTAAGTGTGTATAAAATATGGCGCTAAAATGCAGTTCCCCCACACGTACCATTGCCCCCTTTGACTGCCCCTGCCCCTGCCCCGACTAACTGGCGCACAGTCCTGGCTGCTCCTGGCAGCATTCGTTCCCGCTCTTTGGCCCGGCATGGTTTTTATGGCCACGTGCGATGTTTAAAATTTACTTGCTGGCATTTTTGCAGTCAAGTTGCTTAGCACTCGACTCCACTCCGCTCCTATGGTCCCGTAACTGCATCGATTTTATTCTTTTTCCTCCTTTGCTTTACAGCATTTGTAATCTTTTACACGAGTTGCTCGCCTAGGCTGTTGTTGATCTTAAGCTTTATGCAAATCAACTGTAAATTCGTCTAAGCAAATAAAAAAAATCTTTGCTTAACTATTGCTGTATAAACAGCCTGAAGATGAGATTCCTGCCTTGCCTTTACGAGAGTTGAAACGTACTTCAAATTTAAATCAGACTGAGATTTAAGCAACGGGAGCTTTAGATTGTAATAAAAATAGTTAATCAAGTGAAGCTTTTAGAATTTAATTAACTATATGATGTTCAGGCTATAAAGTTTCTCTTGTGTGAAAAATACTTTTACTTAAGTGGAAGCTGAAGGCTTTCAGCTCAAGCCAGCTTTATTGTTTAAGTATTAGTTTTTTTTACTTTGACTAGGAGTAAATTCTTTAACATCTTCAGCAAAATCTAAATAGTCAATTATCTAAGTTTACCAATGAAAATTTCGTCAATTAAAAGTTTGCTTTATTAGAGCAATTCTAATTGCTTATGCTGCTTTCATCTGTGATAAGCTTTAGCAAATATCATTTAGGCTTAGCGATTCACTTAAATGGTCTCTTATTAAAATGCTGCTCACAGCCAACGAATGTATCTAATCGCATTCAATCTTCAGCTAGTATACCTGTGCTGCCCCCCCCGGTCGGTCTAGGTCTCAGTCTGACTCGTTTTACGTGCTCCAGAGATTTACAACAAATTACTGCACGCTATCCGAGCCGCATATCGCACAAGCGCGTTGGTCAGTCGCTATCTGTGTACATGGATCTTAGCCTGCTGGCCGCGATGTTGCGGATGTGGATATGTATGCGGATGCGAATGCGAATGCGAGTGCGAATGCTACTGCGGCTGCGGATGCGGATGGCTGACACTGCTGATAACCTGGATCGTTCGCCCGTTGCGTTCACTGCTGATGTGGCGTTGTAATTGAACCGGAAAATTACATATTTCAAGCTATTTTTACGCCGAGTTTAATGGCAGACGTGAGCAATAGCAACAACAACAGCTGCCGCAACATTTAACTGTTTGTGGTCAGCAATGAAATAATTTATTGTTGCCTACTTTGCAGCGTCGCCAATGGCTGCTGCCCCAGCACGTAGCACCGAGCACGCCGAACATTTGCGGCTTGCGCGCTCTGGCTCTCGACTTGAGTGGCGCCGATAAGGTAAAAGATATGACCCAAGGTATACTTTATAATTGCGTACAAATAAACGAGCATAAGCCGCCACATTTAGCACAATGGCGCGTAGTTAGCTTCTGGCGAAGCTTAAAATGGATTGCCGGGCAGCCATTCCCTATGGTGGACGATTCGATTTAGTCATCGCTAACGTACTGTAAGTGAACAACTGTCCTCAACATAACCAACGGATAATGCACTCACACACACAGGTGAAGAGTGGCCCATTGAATTATTCCGGCAATTGAAGCAGTTAATTCGGGTCAGATGGCCACTCGTAGAATATATTCTGCAAAAGTGCACACAGCCCTCCGTTTAACTGAGCGACAACAGAAACTGCTTAACTTGAATTGGGTCTTATCTGACCATGACTACTCGATTGAGCGTGTGTAATATGTGTGAATTGAGTATATATAAGAGAGAGAAGAATTAGCGATGATTAGGACAGGTCTAAAGACTAATAACTAAAGACTAAAGACTAAAGACTAAAGACTAAAGACTAAAGACTAAAGACTAAAGACTAAAGACTAAAGACTAAAGACTAAAGACTAAAGACTAAAGACTAAAGACTAAAGACTAAAGACTAAAGACTAAAGACTAAAGACTAGACTAAAGACTAAAGACTAAAGACTAAAGACTAAAGACTAAAGACTAAAGACTAAGACTAAAGACTAAGACTAAAGACTAAAGACTAAAGACTAAAGACTAAAGACTAAAGACTAAAGACTAAAGACTAAAGACTAAAGACTAAAGACTAAAGACTAAAGACTAAAGACTAAAGACTAAAGACTAAAGACTAAAGACTAAAGACTAAAGACTAAAGACTAAAGACTAAAGACTAAAGACTAAAGACTAAAGACTAAAGACTAAAGACTAAAGACTAAAGACTAAAGACTAAAGACTAAAGACTAAAGACTAAAGACTAAAGACTAAAGACTAAAGACTAAAGACTAAAGACTAAAGGAAGAACGGAGAAGGGACTTTCCTCATCGATTCTGAAATATATATAGTCTCACCAGAAGAATGAATCAGTTCAAGCTAGGATATATAAAAATCAATTTATTTACTTCTTTAATCTTATGACAGCTTTTATAGTTAACTGAAACTAATCTAAAATTTTTATATTTATTTTTTTCTGGTATCAATGTTCATGTTCACTTTCAGCTCAAACTTTTACAATTTGTTCAGTAAATTAAGTCCTTACGGAAACACGAGCTTAAATAACATTTCTATCAATGATCAAATTTCGTTTAAATACACAACTTTTCGCTTTGCAAATTAACTTTTTAGAAGCATATTTTTTGCTGTTAGCTGGAATTTTTTTTCTATTTTGTTTTTTTGATGTATTGTTTCAATTATTAATTAAAGCTTTGGCAAAACCTAAAAAGCTTGTATGAACTGCATTCGAAGCAAAAGTTATGTTCGAAACTCGAAAATGTAATCAAAATGAAATTTGCAAACGCTGCGATTAAGCGGAGTCTTGTAATTGGCGCAGTGCTTCCCATTCGATTGTAGTTGAAGCCCGAAAGTTTTACCTGGCTGCTGCTGTCGTTAGTTTTAAAAATTATTTTGCAATTTTAATTGAACAACGCGCTTAAAGCCAAGTTAACCAAATGTTGCCAGTTGCCACTTACCAGTTGCGAGCTGTCGCGTCGTCAGCAGCGATCTGCGTTTCAGTCGACCGATTTGCAGTAAATAACTTTCGCCTGGTCAACCATTTTTTTTAACTCCATTGCTGCAGCTATTGTTGTTGTTGGCAACTGGCAGCTGGTCTGGCCCATGGGCCTGGCTGTTGATGTGTGCGGCTGACCGCAGCATGCGGCCAAAATTTGTTGCTGCTGCAGTTGCGCTTGCATTTCGCGTTAAAATATCAAAAGGCAAAAGAAAAGGTGGAGGCCACCAACTGTAACTAATATATCAATGCAAGAGTAAAAAATATGGTGAACTTGTGAAGAATATGTGAATTCCGAGGCAATGAAAGATGGAGGCACAAATCCATGGCAATTGCTTTGAGTCGATTAATTAAATAATGAATAAATATTGAGATTAATAATTTTATTTATTTTATATATATATTGCCATTTAAATCCAAAGAAACCCAACCATTTTAATTAAGTATATGATTAACTATATATGAAAAAGTGTATCAATAACTAAATCAAAATTTGTTTCTCTGTCCATACAAAAATTGATTTTTTAAAGCTGAATTAATTTATATGAAAAATAGTAAAATTCTGGTAAGCAAATGATGAACCACTTTGTGCCAAAAATCGATTGAGTTCCAAAGAGTTCTCAGAATATGCAAAGCCTGATTTATCAGATATACCCCATCTCAACTCCTTAAAATTTTAAAATTAAATAAATTCCAGCAGGCGGTGAATTCATTAAAGATTTGGAGCACAGGCCGAGGAGCTCAATTTATATTTTACACTTGAATCATAAACATCTAAATAATTTAGTAATCAAATTTAGTTTGAAAGTGACAAAATTATCTTTTACACATATAATGGAATACACGGATGAGGAATTGGATGAGTTCAAGCGTGCATTTGCCATTTTGATCAGAGATGGCGAAAGCAGAAGTGTAACCATTAGGGATTTGGATGCTGTAGTTACTGCTCTGGGAAAAACTGTAACGGAGAAGGAGCTGCAGTCGATGATTAACGAGATGGACTTGGATGGCAACGGCTTCATTGTCTTCGATAACTTTCTTCATTCAATGACGATGCGTATGACTTTCGGGCCAGACGAGGATGATATTCGTGAAACATTTCGCATTTTTGACCGGGATAACACAGGCTTTATAGGACCCGATCAGATAAGAAACGTTATGTTAGATCTCGACATTCAAATCTTAGACGAGGAGTGTGAGGAAATGATTCGTGTCCATGATTTCGATGCCGACGGTAAGCTCAGCTACGAAGAGTTTGTTCAGATGATGACTGTCAAGTAGACCTACCTCAAATCACCGACAACATTCTCAATTAAATTTAAAAAAAATCGGAAAAACACTTTTGATGGCTCTTAATATATTCAAAATTTGTACGAACTCCTCTTATTACAACTTTATATAAAATAATTATTTTATACATTTATATTAAATATTGTCACTAAATATTATTTTTTGGTTATTCTATGAATCTCAATGAAAACAGGATATAGATGAAACACTTGATACCTTTACAGATCTGTTTTAAAATTCATTTAAAATATCGTGAACATTTTATCTTTAATTTTTTTGCTGATGCAATTTAGAGGCAGCATTGAAAATGTTTGCGAATTGGACTCAGTTGTAATTATTAAACTTAATCAAATGAAAACCGCGCTGTGGACCTCAATTAACTCGACTATAAAAATAATTTGTGGTCATTTGGTGTTTACATTGCAAAAGCTTTAACAAAGCCAGACTAATAAATACTCTGTCAACGAATTGTATGGCCAGCGGAAGTTCCTGGTTAAGAAAGGAGCTTTACGAGGAATCATATAATAGGCTGTGTGTATAGTCGGGATACTATACTTACACAAAGGCAACTGAGTTATATTTATTTTATACTAAATAATGCGGGATTAAATTTTTGTATAATATAGAGCTTGTATCCTTATTAAATTTTGAATTATTTAATATTTTATGAACTCACATAGACCTTACTAAATCCAGTTAAATTTATTTGCAAAAAAAGTCAACTGATTCGAATTGTACACACAAAAATAAGTGGTAAAAAGTATTCTGTGATATTTTAACCACAAATTTACATATATCGACTTTGGAAAAGTTATTCGAGTTGTAAAATTAATGCGATTTACATTTGTAATTATGTGTACATATTTTAATTTGCATAATTTAGTAACTGATGTCAGATCTGCACTGAAATTGTATTATAGACCAACAACGGTCGAGTCGGAGTCAGAGTTGCAGATGGGGCAAAAGTATTCCAACTGTAGAACGCAACAATTGCAGGTTGCATTTTGTAAATTTGTTTCGAAATTAATTTTCAATAGTTTTCGTTGCGTTTCGTTTTGATTCTCCATTGCCGGTTGCCAGCAGCAGCCAGATTGAAAAAGTTGGCCAACAACGAACTGGATTGGGCTGGCATTCCACAGCGGGGCTGGAGGGTAATGAAGCGTGCGGCCAATTGAAATGTTTATCCGAATACGCAAATCCAATTGCCAGAGAAGAGAGGCATTTGCATACAGACAGCAAGAGTAGCCAGAGCCGGAGACAGGGCAGCGGTAGCATAGATGAGCAACAACTTCTGGCCTCGGTCAATTCAATAGAAGTATTTTCCTTGCATTTCCTACTCGGACGCATATATTTTCTTGGATCAGAGCATGATGGCCTCGGCAGTCTCGAAGCAGCCAACAATTGTCCATTGTGCGGCAAGCACAATATTTTGCATGCTCGCAAGTTGTACTTGCTCCATAAAACAGCAATAAAGAACCAAATCGATGTTGAACGAAGCTGTGTCCTTTGTGTGTTGCCTTTTAGGTTTAAAAAATATTTGCACAGGATATCAAGGAAATCATCTTGCTTCGGATGTGGCAGAAATAGCGCTGGAGAGCGCTTAGCTAAGGCATATCATCATAAGCAATTGAACAGATGATCGAATTATGCAGACAGACCTTTAAGGCACTGTCTGGCATTGCAGTGCCCCCTTTTGCTCCCGCCTCCCTCTCGCTCTCTCTCCTTCTGTCGGTGTCGTGCCTTCGGTTTCCTCCAGGCGCTCTGTTTGACAAATTAGCCACTTTGGTTATAATTCAGCGACTGTTTGCTGCTGCCTGATGGCGACAACAAGAAATTACCGCAATTTGTGAGAGCGTCGAGTGATTGGTGGGCGCTAGCCTGACAAGGACATGCAGCTGGACGCACAGGATGCTGCCTAGCCAGCTGTTGACGTTGTGCACCTACCTCACACACACACACATAGAAACACAACTGAATAAAGATGTTTACGGCGGGGGGTTGATGTCTACAGACGCGACAGTTATAAATAGCCAAGTAAAATTGTCGACGCGACATCTGTAAGAGGGTTCTCGGGGCTATGGAGGAAGACTGACTGCGATACCTTGTTCCGCGTGCTCCTTGTTTCTGCGCTTTCTTTTTCATTTCTTTTTCATTTCGCCTGCTATTTGCGCCCTGTGCCACACAAAACTTGTAGTTTATTCAAAGTTCCCTGCCGCATTTGGTTACTTGGGCATAATGTCAGGTCAGACAGGACAGAGCAGAAGAGAAGGAGGCAGAGAGAGAGAGAGAGAGAGAGAGAGAGGAGAAGGAGAACAACGAGTGGCGCATATTTTCTTTGCACACGTTTGTGGCCCTTTGTTGACAGGGCCGCAGCATCATTATGGCCAATAAACATTGCCATTTGCGGCTGCCTTGAAGAAGCAACACAACTGATAACGTTTAGAGGTAGATAAGATTAGATAAACTTATTGAAAGGCGCTGCCTAAAATAGTAATTTAATTAAAGTTTCTAAACTTATTTACAGACCAAAGAAATCTTTTAAGCTTATGTTAAATACCGACATGACTTCATTTATATATAGTTGTTCATAGTCGATAGTAACTTTTTGTTGAGCTTGAAATTTTATTAATAAAATGCACTAAGGCAACGCTTCAAAAAGCTTATTATACATAGGCTTCAGAAGCAATCGTTGCAGCATTATATTTAAATATATTACTGCCCTACAATATTCTACCAAACAATTGAATTTTGTGTCTTATTCGTAAAAGTCTTATTATAACTTAATTTTCAATATTTCTTTATTACCCAGACTTTTATGTTCATTATGGTGCGTTAGTTTTCTAACCCCCCCAGCCTTCGCTTTAATACCACATTTTTCTATAGTTTTCAAATGTGAAATTGCCATCGTGCTGCAAGGCAAATATTTGTACATCATTAAAAATGTATCCCAGTTTTTGACTGCCTGCATTTGAATTGCCCTCACTTGCGATTCCATCGTGGCTCCGGACTTATCAATTGGATGGGCAAATGCCAGGCTATGTAAACAAAATGCCCACGTTGCATAAATGTTTAAGCAACTGCTGCCAATGCTAACCAGCCATAAAAACCAGGCTGGCAAACATAAATGCTTGTAAATAAATTGCGCATACGCCGCGTATTTGCCAACGGCATCCAGACAAGGACAGCAAATAGAAAACAACAACAACCACAACAGCAGTAACAAAACAACGCGGCAACAAAACATAACAGAAGCGACAAAATGTTTATAAAAATGATTTCTGCATTTTATTTGTCATTTAAACAAATAAATGCCATAGCACATGCAATTATTTATGCGCCCACATGCCGCCCCGCTCCGATCCATAAGCCCTCGCGCCGTCATGCCGGGCTTAATATTTATTTGGACAATTTAATCAGAGGCAGGACATGCCACTGAAAAAGGTTCGGGCTGAGCAAACAAAATGTAATTAGGCTTAGGCCAGGATTAGTTGCAAATTCAGTTATTCGACCGCCGGCCAACTTGTTGAGCGTGTTTTAATTGAGGCTCGCTTTTTGGATTATGTTATCGCACTTGTTCCTGCTGGCATATTAAATCCTCCGGCAGGCTTTCCCAACATATTATCAAACTGATAAAGAATGTAATAAATGCTTCAATTGAAACGTTTGTAATAAATAAATAGTAATGAAACATCAAAAGCATTTGTTTCCCAGCTCTCCTTTGCTGTCTTGTGTTCGCCTTTATGATTTTATTGTTTGACACATGAAAATGAAATTAAGGCAATATTTTATTTGATTTCAAATACGAAATTCTCTTCGGCTCTATTCAAGCTGCGGGTCTCAAGTCATTTTATTGCTTCAAAAATTTTAATTACATTTACTGTTTACCATTTCAGTCGCCTTTGCTGAATGTACCCGGCCTTGCTCGACTCTAGTACATCGGTTAGGCCTAATTGAATTGCTGGAAAAATATAAATTGTACAATTTGGATACAGCTACACTTTAATATACCCTTGATACTTAGACTTTCAAAAATCAAAGAACAAAGAGTATATTATTTCCAGTAAAAATTTGTTTTTTTTTGTTATCAAATATGATTTAATATGTGAAGCTACTTTTCTTTTACCTTTAGCTGAGCTTAATACTCTGCTTGATTGTCATCATCAACTTGTATCATAGACTTTAGTTTTGTTCAACTGTTGAAAACTGGGATGCTTGTTCCAGAAAGTTGAATATAACTATTCGCCCATCATTTTTCAATCACCATATGTTTATTAAAAAATATTTAATTGGTAGTTTGTGGGGACTCGAATCTAAGCTACGAACGCATTTCTTTTATAAATTCATGATTTGGGGAAAAACTACATATAAATAAGATTAGATGAGATAAGTTTATATGCAATCTGCTGGTCTCTGCTGGATACAGTCAATAAATAAATTAGAGATATTTTCTCAATCGCGATCAGTCGTTCGACCTGTAAAGACGTGAATTCGAACAGCCTTCGCTTAAGCTCTACTGCTGCAGAGTTCTAAAAATAGAACTTTGCGGTGCATTCTTCAACGCAACAGCAACAAAAACCGCACACGCAGCGTTTTCTTATCGCTTGCTTCCGCGTAACTCAATTGCTTTAATTGCAATTTACGAAATTTCGTCGCTTGGCGCGAGTGCGCCTGCACTCAAAAGCACAATCCGCGATGACATCTAATGTCAATAACCTCGCTACAGCTGTAAAGGTAAATGCAGAAATGCAAGCCCAGCTTAACGTTGTGATGGCAAATAGGCAAGCCTCCATCATGCCAATAAACTCAAAAATAGATATCGCCTCCGTGCAAGGCATCACTAACAACAAAAACACGAAACGTAAACAGCCAAATTCACCAAAAACCATCAAGAAAAGGCTCATCTTCGACGAACCAAGCACCAGCAATGCAGCATTAATATCAGAAAATCGATTTTCACTGCTCGTAGAAGAAGATGAAGACTACAGCGAATC